CTTTGCTTTATCTAACTTCAAGTAGATCGGACATTATGTTTAGTGTTTGCTTATGTACTAGATTTCAATAATGTCCTAAGGAATCACATTTACTAGATGTTAAGAGAATCTTTAGATACCTTAAGGACACTCCTAGTTTAGGACTTTGGTATCCTAGAAACTCTACCTTTAGCTTGCATGCCTTCTCTGATGCGGATTATGGAGGTTGCAAATTAGATAGGAAAAACACCTCTGGTACTTGCCAATTCCTTGGAAATATGTTGATTTATTGGTTTTCAAAGAAACAAAATTATGTAGCATTATCTACCACTGAAGCAGAATACATTTCAGCTGGTAGTTGTTGTGCACAAGTTTTATGGATTAAATAACAACTTTTTGATTATGGAATTGAAGCAGGTACCATTCCTATCAAATGTGACAATACTAGTGCTATTTGTCTCACTAAAAATCCCATCCAACACTCTAGAACTAAGCATATTGAAATAAGACATCACTTCATTAGAGACCATATCGCTAAAGAAGATGTAGTTCTAGAATTTGTTGATATTTTGCACCAATTAGCGGATATCTTTACGAAACCTTTAGACAAGGAAAGATTTTGGACACTTAGGAGAGAATTAGGTTTAACTGACCTATCTTCACTTAGTGTTTAAAATAATTTTAGCACTTTTAAGAATAAATGAAAAATGCTTATAATAATAATTTTTGATTGCATTCTTTGCTATTAGTTAGGGGGAGTTTATGTTCTTTGGTGAAAATTAATTTTATGTTAAAATGTAGTTTATGGATTAAATTGATTGATTGAACATGATTAATTTTCAATATATATGAGTTGTCAATACCACTAGAGTTAATTAATTTAGCATTTTGAGTGTTTAAAACGGATTTTTGACATTTTTGTGCTTAGTGCATCGATACACTTAACAGTGCATCGATGCATCCCTTTGAATGTGCATCGATACACCATGAAGGTGCACCGATGCACGCCTTGAATGTGCATCGATGCACAAGGCCATGCATCGATGCATCTGTCGGGTTTTTTTGGATAAAAACCCTTATATTCTTCATTCTCTCAAAAACTCTTCAAAACACTCCCTTGCGTCGTTCGTCCCTCTCTCTCCCTAAATCTCTATTTGCTCAAAATCAACAAATATTTGTCGGAATCCTCGAGCTTTTCATCTTTATATCATGCTACTATCATTAAATCGTACAACACAACATCCCATTCTTATCAATATGAAATTTTCAAGGTATTTTTCTAAAAACTTCTAATTTATCATATTTTGATCTTAGGACTAGTTTTAATTAGTTCTAGGATGAACATTATATCGGGCATTGATTGTTTGATGATTTCAAACTAGATTTTACAACCAATTTCATCAAAAAAATCATAAATTTTCAATGAATTTTTGAATTTTTGAAATTAAAAAAAATCGAAAATCTGAATTTTATTTTTAAATTTGATGTTTTTGATTTAATTATGTTGTTTTCATGAAAACTATACATATTATGATTTTTCAAAAAGTATTTTCAAATAGTTTTTAAAACCTTGCCCATTAGGATTTGGTTTAGAGAACCTTGAATTATTGAGGACTCAATTGAGTTTTGGGATTGATTATTGTGCATACATGTGTTTTAAATTGCAAGTTTCATTCCTTATTCTGATACCTTAACCATGTCCAATCCTAAACGTCATAGGACTTTATCGAGTCGTTCAACTCGACCTCCTAATCCCGTTCCTCCTCCACATAATAGTCTTATAGGATCCTGTTTTAATATGCCTGAATCTCGTAGAGACGACTTGTACTCTAGGTACATAAATTCTTTCCAATCCTATAGAATCCGGGAAGAGCGTATTCCTTCTCTTCAAGCCATGATATATATTGACTTCGAATACCTTCTGATTCTTAAAACTTGGAAGTTTGATAAAATGTTTCACCTCAAACCTATCGTCTATCATCAGTTAGTCCGCATTTTCTACTCCAATGCAGTATGCATTCAAAACCAAACTCAATGTGAGACTATAGCAATTAGATCATATCTTCTAGGCCAATATATTAATATTGACCCCGAGACTATAGCTTTCTGTTTTGGGCTAGATGATGATGGGTTATTTAATGAGAATGAAACTTTGGATTATCCCTATGTTCCAAACGCTAGTGTTAGTACTCTACGTTCTCATCACGATCGTTTTCTTCATTTGATGATCTCTTAGTGGTTTAGACCATTCGGAGGTAGGTACTCCACTCTTCGTGCTAGGGATTTATGGTGGATGCACTGTATCAAGAATAAAAACAAAATAAATATGCCCCACATTATTTTTAGTCAACTAGTGGATATCATAAATATTGTTCCTTCAAAACATGTCGAAACATTAGTTTATGGATGTCTTCTTAGTAACCTTTTTATCAAACTCGGTCTAGACGTCTCTCTCGACAATCTCATTCCTCTCCAAAACCCAATCAATCTCATCTCGTTGAAGAAAGTAGATTGGAAACAAGACGAGGTAACTGGTTAATGGGTCTTTTGACCCTCTAAGCAAACTCTAGGAGCTAGTTTTTCTCGAGCTGCTCCTAGCTCTTCTCATGCTCCTCCTCCTCCTGCACCAGCTGCAGACGATGATCCAGAATTTTAGCAGCTCATGCGAGATATCGATGAAAAAATTCCTGATGATGTTCCTCCGGCACCGGAACCAGCACGGCAAGAAGATCAAACGCCACCATATTTTTGATCTTTCTTAGAGTCATTTGATTTGAGGTTTACTTCCATGGAGTCTCAGATTACTGAGTTTCAGCATGAGGTGCGTGAACGTATGAACGCTCTCACTCTTGAAGTTCGAGCTCATTATCCTCCTCCTCCTGACCCTCCGATGGATTAGACCTTTTCCATGCTTTCTTGGATTTCAAACTTGGATTAATATTTCTTTTTGATGTTTCTGGATTGTTTATTTTGGATCCTTAAATGTTTGAATTTGTTAGGAGTTATGATTTGGATGCTTGGTTGACTAAACTTATTATATATATTTGGTTTGATTTTATCTTTCTTATTTTGAGCTTAATGTTTATTAATTTTTGCATCATTTACAATTTAGTTGCATTATGACCAATTATGCCATTTCACAGTTTGATTATGAATATTGATTATGAAACTAATGGCTAATCTCTCTTTTGATTGTGATCTTAGCATCTTAATCTTATTTACTTATAATCAATTGGCTATGTTTTTCAAAACCTTGTTTAAATCGGTTTTTGAGTCTTTTTATTTAACAAAAAGGGGGAGAAGTGTTAAGTGTTAAAATATTTTAAAGGGGAGAAGTGTTCAAGTAAGGCGAAGTAATTTCAAAGTTGTTTTTCAAAATTTATTTTCAAAGAAAATCTTAAAATTACACACATGTTTTGTTATATCAAAAAGGGGGAGATTGTTGAAAACATTTTTGATGTTTAGATATAACAAATTAAAGTTAAATGAATTTTAAGATTTTACAAACAATTTTATAAGTATATTCGACTCAATTAATCGAATATCAAATCAATTACTCCAAGTCTTTTCAAGATCAAATTCAAACCTTACTAAATGTGTAAAATTGTGTTTTATACTTAATATATTTTTGAAAGAATTTTCACAAAGTATTTTGAACCAAAATCAAGCCTAAAATCATTTTTTCAAAGTGATGCACCGATGCACCAATCCATGCATCGATGCACCATGGAATAAATTGAACATCAAATGCATTTCATGCATCGATGCACATAATATGCATTGATGCACTCAGAGTTTTATGAAAACATTGAATGCATTTGATGCATCGATGCACCAGCCATGCATCGATGCACTCATGCTATTTTGAAACATCGAATGCATTTTATGCATCGGTGCACTCTTAGTGCACCGATGCACTAAGGGTTCAACGATCAAAATATTTGAATTTTACACTTGATGCACCGATGCACCATGGGTATGCATCGATGCACAGACGCACCCAACTGATTTTATTAATTATTTTCACACTTAAACGACTATATTGACTCCACTAACCATCCCCAGCATTCAGAATCATTTGAAGGAGTATTTAAACAAGTCTAGAAGCCATTAATCAACAACAATCAAGAATAAATCATAGAGAAACAAGAAAGAAAGCATCAAACATCAAGTTTGTGCAATCCAAGCCAAATTTCCTTTCAATATTCATTTTGCTTTCAAGAACACAATTTGTGCTCGATTGTAATTATCTTTGAGTGTTCTTATCTTGTTCTAGAATTGTGCAAACATATTTCCTTGTGAGGTTTTCCTTGTAAGTTTGCAAATTTGTATATTTCTCTTTGATAATGAGTGTGCTCAAGAATTGGGGTATAATTCTTGAGGGAGTTGTAAGGTTACTCTTTGTCCTCAAAAGAAAGAACAAATTAGTGAATTTGTTGAAAAATCCTTAGTGTGGATAGCTAAGGTAGTGGACGTAGAATTTGGTTGAGAAAGTTGAACCACTCTAAATCGCTGTGCAATTACTTTCAATTTTCTGCAAAAGCTTCCACCAATTTTTTAAATTGCAAATTCACCCCCTCTTGGCCGATTCCGTCGATCGATTAACTCAACAAAAATGTTTTAAAACTCAAGTGACATCTTTGACTCGTGTTCGGGGTCAGATACGGGAAATGTGTGTTACACATGTACCCAAAGTTAAAGGAATCTAAACGCTTCTAACTTGATTTATTATGTCATTCGAAACAACTCCGCCGAATTATTATTCTATTGCGGCTTTTTTTTGAAAAAACGTCACTATAGATCAACCCTATTGCGACGTTTGTATAAAAACGCTGCTAAAGTTACCATTTTGTGGCGTTTGAAATTTAAACGCTGCTATATGTTTAAAGTTTGTGGCATTTACTCTCAAAATGTCGCTGTAGAATAGTTCCGCTGTAGTGAATGTTCTGTAGCATGTTGATGTCCCAGTCTCTTTCCTCTTAAATGAATTTAACCACCTTGTCGTGGACCTCAGGTTCTCTGCCTGGATAATCTTTTAGAAGGCTTGTTTTACCCAACCACCAGCCATGCCAGAATTTGGTGTGTTCTTCGTAGTGGATTTGATATTTACAACCCTTTCTCACCATATTTAGTGTGCTCAAAATTCCTTTTCAAGTGGACGAGTTTTCAGCTTGGTTACCCACTTCCATAAAATTTGACTGTTTCAGGTATTTCTCTTTAAAATTTCTACACCAAAGAGTGTCGTAGTTCCTGAACATCTTCTATACGTTCTTTGCCATCATTGCTAAATTTATCATTCTAGTTTTACGTAAACCAATCGCTCACATCATTTCATGTGCTCAAAATTCCTTTTCAAGTGAACGAGTTTCTAGCTTGGTTACCCACTTCCATAAAATTCGACTTTTTGAGGTATTTCTCTTTAAAATTTATGCACCAAAGAGTGTCATGGTTCCTGAACATCTTCTATACGTTCTTCGCCATAATTATTAAATTCGTCATTCTAGTTTTACGTAAACCAATCACCTGTTGCTTTTGGTTTACAGACTATGTCCTAGTTTACTAGATGATTTAATAATATTATTAAATTATTAATAATGAAAAATATTATTTATTTATTTGATATTAATATAATAACCTAGTAATTTTGTAATAAAAATATTCAAAAAAATATTTATTAATATAATATTAATTAATATAATTTATAATATTTTTATTTCAAGAGAATATACTAATCTTAAGATTTTATTTATAAAATTATAAAAAAAAATATTTTAATAATAAAAAATAATAAATTATTCTAATATTTCAAAAATAATAATATTAAATTTTTATAATAAATAATATTGTTTATTGTATTTAATATTTATGGAAAATAATTTCTAGAAAATTCACCAATTGATGAGAAATATTTTACACAATCTCTTCCAAACAGTGTAAAATATTTTTCAAAAAAATTTACAAATTTTTTTTTTGAAAAATAATTTTAAATAAAACAAACGCACCCTAAGTCAATTCAAAATGACCAATTTTTAAATCAAGTCAAATTTTTGTTAGAAACTTGTATTTACCCCGAAATACAATATTATGAAGGGATCATACGCTAGAGGCCCAAACCCAAATTTGACATGGAAACTGGTCTGGGCAGAGGCCTTTTCTGTTTCGTTCGGACCGGTAAAAGGAAGGGAAAAGAAAAGAGTGTACAGTCCTTGGCTCAAACTCACACTTCTCAAGACGTCCTTAAATTCTTCCATAAACCTAAAAAGCATACGCAATTTTCACCCCACTTTTTATACTTCTCATTATTTGTTTAGGGTTCACTGTAATGCTTCAACATCCTCGGTTCCCTCAATGTACGTACAATCTCAGCCCATGAACATCCCTGGCCAGATCGCCGACAACGATGTTTCCGACCCCGCCGACCACCACCATATGGTTGCTTACGATGCGCATCCCCTCGACGACGGTGTTGGAGTCGAGGACCTCTCAACCGATCACATCTACGGCACTTCCGCCGCTGCTTCCGCCTCTGACTTGGCCGCCGTTCAACGAGTCGACATTGCCAGTCAACTCACTCTCTCGTTTCGTGGCCAGGTCTACGTATTCGATGCTATTACTCCTGAGAAGGTTAATCATCTTGTATCTTTTCTTATTCAGCTTTCGTCAATTATGGCAATTAGGGTTTTTTTTTTGGAAGAACCAAAAGTTGATGGCGTAAATTGTAGAGAGATGTGATTTCGTTTCCTCTTATTTTAAGTTATCGAACCAAAAGTGCTACTTGAAAATCATACTTTTGTTCTTTCGCTTTTCTATATCAACTTCAATGAAATGTACACCCTAAAGAATTTTTATGTTGTCGAATTTTTGCAGTTCCGCGCGGTATTGTTACAGCTTGGTGGGTGTGAACTGACTTCAGGTCCCCATGGTGTTGATATGCCTGCTCAGAACCAAAGGGTAATTCTCTTAAATATGTTGAATGTAGAAATTTGAGTTCTCTTTATAATTTTTAGTTTAGCCATTCATTTTTATGTTTAGGGTGTTCTGGACTTCTCGAGAGGATCTAATCAACCTCATAGGGCAGCCTCTTTAGATAGGTTTCGTAAGAAGAGAAAAGCGCGATGCTTTGATAAAAAAGTCAGATATGGTGTTCGTCAAGAAGTCGCTCTTAGGTGTGCATTTTCCTTCCTACATGCAGATATTTTAGCTGGATATGCTTGTGAATTTTTGAACTATGAAAGTCAGTATGTTGTTCTTATGATTGATGCTTACAAACTTAGACTGAGAACTAAATTGGTGGGCTTTTCAGTTTTGAGGAATTACTATGAATTAGGACTTCATGTAGGGTATGGATTATTATACTATGAGAAATAGTTTGGCTATACTGGATTAACAAAGTATGATTATTATCAAAAAAAAATTTATTTCATTTTAACCACTCTTCTTTTGTTATCATTGAATACATCATTAACACTACATTATTTCACTATTTTTCTGAATGCCATATGTTCTTAATTATAAACCGACGATCTTTCTAATAGTTTTCAGTACTAGAAAACAAGAAAAATAAACTATTGTCCAATTCTAAAGGGTGATAAATAGGTAAAGTTGCATGCTGGTATAGCCCTGATAGACAAGCTTTTAATAATTGGCTAATTGCCTTAATGATATATTGTGAAGTCCTCTAGTTTACAATCTGATGTACTATTTTTTTTGGTTAAGAATAGGTCTCGCTAAAAAACCCCTTCATACTTCTTGGCAAATCACAAGGTGGCCAATAGGTAGTGGAAGGGGAAAAAGAGTACCTCGGGTTTATTCAGGATTCCAAACATTAATACAAAGTTCGACCAAAGTACTAGAGGTTACACAGTCTGATGTACTATAAAATTGTTAGAAAACTCTCAAAGATCTAGGGAGTAACATAGTGGTTTGAGGTCAGCAAATCTGTGTCAAAAGTCAAAACAAAATATATACTGGAATACTAGATTGTGTAAGGATGATTTTTTCCACCATATTACTTGTGACTGACCTCTACGTTTTCTTATCTTGCTATTAAAGTATCAAATGAAACAACAAATCTTTTTTTTTATAGGAAGTGGAGGCCTCGTTAAAAAACCCCATCATGATTAACGGAACACCAATCGGTGTTCCTTAATCAACGGAAGGAGGAAAAGAGTGCCTCAAAATTCATTAATAAGTAAAAGATTACATAAAGTTTAAAACAAACAATCCCCTTACAATAACAACCCAAAACACACCTAACAACACATCTTTCACTCAATAAAACAACATCCTAATCCAACCAACAATAACTACCCAATACCGGTCTTAGCTAAGCAATCAGCTTCTATAGCTCTTCAGTCAACCCTTCTGATAGCACCCTCCAAAACTCTTATCAACAACAATATCTATCACTAGATGAAGAAAAGCACCAGGATAGCTAATTAAATTCTTGACCCAATCCACAACAAGATGCTATCAGATTCAACAATCCACGAATTCTTAAACCTCTGAAGAATAGGCTGAAAGATAAGTACACCCATCTTGATGGCAATAAGCTCCAGCAAAGTTGGAGGGCCTGGATTTGCAGATTCTATAAAAGAACCCATCATCTTGCCAACCTCAATATCAACTGACTCATTTCATAGAAGCCAAATTCTAACACAAAAGCCATGAGCTTCCACACAATAAGAGTACAAAAAAGCAAGCTTTGAAATCACTCTATCCGCCTTTCTACCACTTATTGCTCGTCTTGTCGTCGAAGACCATCCGAACCTCCAACTCCATTATGAATAATCATATGCGAATCACCTGAAACTATTCACTTCATTTTGTTTCTTGAATCAACACAATCTCACACTTGTACATCCAACAATCCTCCTCAGTTCAGAAAAATAAACATTTGAGCCCATCCCTCGTATGATCCAAGATAAGATCCTCATCTCGACCTACTTCCTCTGAGAACAGCTAAAATTCAATAGATAGGGAATGTGACACACCTTCCAATTTTTCCACTGCTATAATTTTCCGAAACCAAAACCACTTCTGATCCTTTAGACAATATACCCAATTCTTTCCCGATCTGTAAAGTTTCTTTGGCTTCCTTCTTTTGTCTCTGCCACCTTGCTTGAAAGTCAGAATCAGATAGGGATCTGCCTTCAAGTTCAATCAAATCTTCCTCGCGCACCTTCTTCTGATTATTCTTGCTTCGGCAGTATCTAGATTTCCTTTGAGGAGCCGTATATTTCTCTTGAATTATATGGAGAGAGCTATATTTTTGTTTTTCTCTCCTTTGCTCTGTGTTCCTGCCTGGTCTATAATTTTCCGAAACCAAAACCACTTCTGATCCTTTAGACACTATACCCAATTCTTTCCCGATCTGTAAAGTTTCTTTGGCTTCCTTCTTTTGTCTCTGCCATCTTGCTTGAAAGTCAGAATCAGATAAGGATCTGCCTTCAAGTTCAATCAAATCTTCCCCGCGCACCTTCTTCTGATTATTCTTGCTTCGGCAGTATCTAGATTTCCTTTGAGGAGCCGTATATTTCTCTTGAATTATATGGAGAGAGCTATATTTTTTGTTTTTCTATCCTTTGCTCTCTGTTCCTGCCTGGAATTGTGCGTGAAAAAATCGTCCCTCAATTTTTTTGACAAGCAAAGGCTCTGGTCCAAATCCTCACATACTATCCTCGATTTGGGTTTTCCATCCACCCGGTCTACCACAGCCCCATCCTGTTGGACTTCCTCACCCTTTGATCTTTTGATAGCACAATTATTTGTAAGGCCCATATCAATCACATCCTCCTCCACCTTTGACTCTAATCGACCATCCAAAATGGGCAAATCTATTAAATTATCCTTCATTCCCTCATTAACATGTGCAGGCTTACAAATTTTCCTGTTGTCATCTTCTGCCTCTCTCTCCGCATGATCCAACACTTCCTCGTGTTCCATCGCTTCCTCGATTTGCGTTTGAACCTTCCCCTGACCAGCAACAATATTCCTCAGCCCCATAATTATTTCCTCCCCTATGTTCCTTTCCTCCTCGTCCTCACCCGACAAGCTGCTGCCTCTAGTTCTGTTCCCCATACAACATAATTGTCTGTCTTCTTCCTCATAACACCTCTCGGAATTCTTCTCCTCCAATGAGTCCACACTTCTTCCTGCCGATGATTTAGAATCGACTACAACCGCACCTTCTTTTTCTTCCCGCTTTCGAAACAATGAATCACTACTAATTGATGGAAATTCCACTACTCTAATTCTAAATATATCTCTACCTGCTGCCAAGTCTACCACTTCATCAATTAATTCTTTCCTACTAGTTGCTATCAGAATAGTCATCTCCTCGCAGCCCAATTCTTGAAGTGTGTTTTCTCCCAGCGCTAAGCATTCTCCCCATTGTTGTGCTATCCTCTTAAAGGTGCTATGGTTCCAGCAGTGAAGCAGCATTCCAAACAGTTTAATCCATGTTACTCTTTCGGACGCTCTGTATGATTCTGACCAAGGTTGAACTTCCTGAAAAACTTCATTTAAAATCGACCAGTTCTACTCCTTCAACATTCTGTATGACTCTTCATCATCTATTTGCAATAAGAAATCTCTCCCTCCCAGGAACTTGGTCTTAATATGTCCTAGACCTCCTGCTTTTAATCTGCCTTCCACCTGACTCAAAGAGCAAAACGTCGCCATCGTTCCTACGGGGCACTTCTGGAGCTTTCGAACAACTTCCTCATCTACATACCCCTGTATTAGCCTAGTCCTTCTTGCTAGGAACGATGGTGACGTTTGGAGCTTTCGAACAACTTCCTCATCTACATACCCCTGTATTAGCCTAGTCCTTCTTGCTAGTTCCTCCGGACTTTCTCCACTTACGCTTTTTCCTTGTTCTACACTGGTTGTAGCATTGGAAGTTGATGGATAATTCAGTTTCCAATTTTGATTCTTAGCTCCATACCGAGCTTCGTTGACTGATAATCGATATCCAAATAACCATAATCCATTTAATCTTTGGACTACTCTAACTGTGTCATCTCTGTTGGAAAATATAACAAACCCAAAGCGCTTTCCTTTTCTATCATTTTTCCTTGCTATATAAGAACTAATCACATCTCCATGCCTCCTGAATAGTTGACTCAACCCACTCCAGTGATATCTAGGTGGAATGTTTTGCACGAACAAAGTTACTATCTCGCCTTCCTTCCCTGAGCTTTGAGCCATCTGTCCTAAAACCTTTCTCTTCCAAGACGACGAAAGTAATTGCTTATTAGTCAGTGGGAAAAGTGCACAGTGGAACGGATGAATCGAAACTCGGAAGACTGTTGGTGGAAAAATCGGCGGAGAAAGGCGAGTAGATTTGCTCCGATTGAAGTGGAATCTATCAAAAAGAACAAGGAATATGGAAAATCTGTGGGTAGACGATGATCCTTGAGAAAAACAGCGTCAAAAGGAGGTCGGAGTGCGGCGGTGGACGGCGGACGGAGGACGACAAGCGACGGACGGTGGAAGGCTAACGACGGATGACGGTAGTGAAGGCTGTTTAAACTTCCCTCAGATTCTCTCTCTCCCTCTGCCCCTGGAAATTTGAAATTTGAAATCGCCTGAGTTAGAGAGAAGCTAGAACTTCTCTCTCTACTTTTTTCACGCTAGGGCCTTTTAATTGCAGTTATATGAAAGAGGGTGTGAGGACAAACGTTGAAGCAATTTTACTGGTATGTAACTGCACTTGTTCTTAGCTGTTACATCTTAATAACCAAGAGGGATTAGCCTTGTAAGGTTTATGCTTTGTCCTCGTTTGACTTTTCTATTCATGTCACTTTTAAAACGACTATAAGTTCATCTTGTCCTTATTTAATCAGCAGGAGCCATTAATTTTTTAATATTTTCATTTGGGGAATCTATATGAACTAATATTGTAATTCCATCACCTATAGTGAGGATGGTGTATCGTAATGCAATTTCAATCCACTGATAGCTCGTTATATCAAAAAATATTGGTGATTTAGGGGACCTATGTCTCAAAAGTGGAAACAAAATGTTTAAACTGTTATTATAGTCAAGCAAGTTTAACTTCTTTCTTTTTAAACTGTTTATTAGTTAGACATACTTCTAATGTACGAGAAATGGATGAAGTGCAATGAGGATCCTGCTGAAGGGAAAAAATATTAAAGAATTCAAACAATAGCATAGAAATCTTTTTTTTTCCTTCCGTTTTAATTGGGTTGTATCGGTGCTTCAATAGAACCTTGTGGATTAAGGGGAGATGATTCACATTTTACCCTTTTAGGGGATTTTATATAATGATTAACAATTTGACAGCATATTTGGAAAAAATGAACATATATGAAATTGAATTCTTAAAATCCAGCATATAAATGTTTTGCAACTGAGAAAAGGTCTAGAAACTCATAAAAGATGATTTATCCTTATTGACAGCTTTTTTAAATATCCTGTGAATGGTAAGTTGTTTCTGATTTATCTGAGTGCTCCAGGATGAATCGAAATAAGGGTCAATTTACATCTGCCAAATCTTCCAAGAATTCTGAAGGATGTGAAAGCTCTTCTCAGGATGATGACAACCCTGCAGATGCTATGTGAGTTTTGTACCATCTTCCAGAGTATTATTCTTTGCATCTTTTTATGAAGATCTGGTAAATATATTTTTTAAACTTTGTACGTACTGCAATAGATTTCTCATATATCTCCTTTATTAGTCAGTAGAATCATTTTTAACATTTCCTGGTAAACTCTCAACATAATGTCATTTTCACACTTGTCCAGATGTATGCACTGTGGCATTAGTTCAAAGTCCACCCCAATGATGCGACGTGGTCCATCAGGTCCAAGGTCTCTATGCAATGCATGTGGACTTTTTTGGGCAAATAAGGTTGGTGTGTCTGCTGTTATCTTCATTTTACCCATGTTTTTTATTTACAATTAAGAAAAATTGCTTCCCGTGATTCTTTTGCTACATTTTCCATCAAGGTTCTTTTCATGTATTGGGTAAATTTAGATGAGCAAATCACTTTTAACTGTTCCTTGAAGATTCTCTTTGGGATGATTGCGACTAGTGTTTTAACTAAAAAGTTTACTATCCATGCACACATCAAGTTCTCCATCAAGAAAAGTATTGCACTCACTGTTGGGGACCGGTAAAATGTATTCATGGATGGGGTGTTGGAAAGGTCTGCTAATGTGGTAGCCTGGTAGGGACAAATGCATTTCCCTCCCACTAAACTCTCCCCCGTTGTTTACAATTTTCCAGTATCGGAGTCTTGCCAAGTTTTTGTGCACTGTCGTTTTATAAACAGTCCCTCACTGCTGAACATTCTGCAAGCTACATATTTTGAGTTTTAAACAATTGCACCACGCAGGGAACTTTGCGGGATATTCCAAAGAAAGTGCATGATTCCCTTATCCCAGTTCAACAGGTGTGTTTCTCAGCACTAAACTCATTTTCAGGCTTCTTGGTTTGCAGTTCTAATTTATCCATTATTCTTCGATGACGTAATCATGGGTTTGCATTTTTTTGTAATATAGGGAGAAAGTGAAGCAAATAATTCAGATTCTAGAATTGCTATCCCCACACAGAGCAATGTAGTTCCTTTCTCAAATGGTGATGGCCCAGCTCTAATTGGTGAGCACTGATTGTGTCAATACGGCCATTGTGTCGACTAGGTCTTCATTGGTCAATTTTTAAGGACTTTCTTATATGTACATATATCATAGTTGCCTTTTTATTAATATACACGAGGTTTTCTCGTCCTATTCATCGAGTCTAGTACATTTGCGTGCTGAGATTACCTCTTTTAAGAGAAACCCATTCTGGATGTAAGAGCTGAAATTGTTAACAGTATGCATTTGGAAATTTTATAGGCCATATTTCATTCATTTTCCATCTGTCAAAACCAAATCCCATTTTCCAGATGGTGCCATGCTTAATGGAATTTTAGTATGAATTTCGGATATGAGCGTGTGTTTTAAAATGAATATATGTAATAGTTTTTTTAAAAAAAAATAAGTTTTTCATATATTTGGAAAGTTTGAAATGTTCAAATATGAGTTGAACAAAGGGTATGTATGCAATATTGAGTTTTGAGCTCCACAAAAATTAAAATTGCTTTATTTTAGAAAGAGATAGAAAACTGAAATTGAATAAAATAAAAGAAGGGTAAATATCAAATTTGTACAAGAATTCTGTTATAATTTGCAATTTGGTGGACTAAATATAGGGTTGGGTTTCCCTTTAATGGGCTAACCTTGGTCTAGGTGGGTTTATTCTAGTTGAAATTCTCCATTTCTGAACTTGAAACGGCATCGTTTGGATGAAATCCACCTACCACCATCACTTTAAAATGATTACACCGAACCTATCTTGCCCGATAGAGGTGTGCAAATTCGGATATCGAATTTTGAATATCCGAAATTTTGGATACTTAAAATAGTAATTCGAATCTGATTTGAAAAAATTGAATATTTGAATTATCGGTTATCCAAAATTTCAGATCGGATATTTGGATATCCGATCGGAACATATAAATTATTTTGCTTAAAGTTAATCCATTAAAGAGAATATATTTAGAAAACATTGTAATTTCTAATACAAGATTAAAAACATTCTCTGAGTTTTATAATAAACAATTAAATAAAATACTTGGGCAGTAGATATCTAAAACTACAGTTTCGGCGTCATTTCCTGCTTCTAGGCCATATTTTATTTGTATGATAACCGGATAATGCTTCATCCTCATAACTCTTGTCAAATATTTCCAAAAAACGATAAATCATAAGTATAACCATTGATAGTTCACTGGAGGATTAAAACATCCTAATATATGAAATTCAGAGAGTAAATCAATGTCAACTTGTTTAATTTTTCATAAATTCTAGAGTGATTCTAGGAAAATCAATTTAAAGAGATTGTGGATTAAATTATATTTTAAATGTCATTGATTCTGTAAATAATGCAGACAACAAGTGGATAGCAACAAAGTATGTGTTTGATTTAACCAAAAATAGATACATAATTTAAGCAACTCATTCAGATTGATAAAAATTTAGAAGGAAGAGAAACATTAATTTACAAGGGTGAAAACAAGGTAATATTGAGCAGATAAATGAGAGAGAGGGCGTGAAACATAGGAAGAAGAAGATGGGTATCTCAGATCTGCATGTAAAGTTCTAAGCTCGACAGCTTTGGCAATGGGTTAAAGGCCTATTTATTTTTCAGATAATTCAAAATTAATATTTTCTTGATTAATATTTGATTCGATTATTAAAATTTTTATTGAATATTCGATCGTAAATATTCGAAAAAAATCAGATTGAATTATCGGATAAACGGATCAGGTTATTCTGTTCGAATATTTTTGCACACCCCTGCCGCCCCAAAAAAACAAACAATTCTGGTCCTCCACCAACCCACTCCCACCTTCTCATTCCTTTTTTGTTGAACGCCTGAAAACGCCGAGCAATGACGGCGGCTATGAGCTTTCGCAGGCTCTCTTCCTCCTTCAAGTCTCCGATCAGACCTCTCTTCAGTCGCACCTCCCTCTGTTACATGGTTCCTATATCTCAAACCTTTTTTCTTCTCTTCTTTCTTTGCTTCTTTAATGTTTTATTTAATTTCCATCTCTTCTTTGTTTTCATTTGCTTCAGTCAACAGCTGCCGCAGAGAAAGAGAAAGCTCGTGCTAATGAAAGCTCATTTTCTTAAAATTATTGTTATTCAAACAAGGTTTGGATTTTGGAGTTTAGATATTTAATCTTTTTGCTGTGATTTTGATTTCCTTTGTAGTGGGTACATCAGTTGAATGCTCCACTTGAGGAAATCGATCCTGAAATTGATAACATAATCGAACTCGAGAAAGCTAGGCAATGGAAGGTATTTTGATAAAATTCAAATATCTTGGCATTTTTTCTCGCATTTCTGGTTTTTAATTTTTTTAATATATTTTTATTTTCTTTAACTTTATTCAAGTGTTGATTGATTGATTCAGATATCAATTTGGTTTTCATTTTATTTGTGTGATAGGGACTAGAGCTTATACCATCCGAGAATTTTTCCTCCGTCTCAGTGATGCAAGCAGTAGGCTCTGTCATGACCAATAAGAACAGTGAAGGGTATCCTGGTGCTACATACTATGGAGGAAATGAGTTAAGCAAATCTATTTTTGCTTTTCTATATTTTAAATTTTAATATCAATTATAAAAAAAGAAAAAAGAAAGAAAGAAAGATATGGGTTCCTTTATAAATTGATTTCAGACTGATTGTAATTTTCAGGAAGTCGAATCAGAAAATAAGATGCATGTTATATTGTGGTTTTATATTTTAGTATAAATTCTTGATGGCTATGTTGCTCAGATTCTTCCTTCCTTCTTGTTTACCCATGCCAGACACTCGCAATGGAGTCCGAGTAACATAGCTTAGTAGGCTAAGGTCAGTGTCTGATGCTTAGTTTAAAAAAGCGTCGCTTAAGCACGATTAAAGCGCTAAGCGACTCGAGCGAGGCCTCTGGCGCTTTAGCATGGCAAAACACTACGAATTCATTAAGCGATAGTAATCGGCGCTTTTAGCAAAGCGCTAATCGGTGCTTAATCGCGAATTTAGAAGATACGATTATGGGCTTTAGGAGATACAATTTTTGGGCTTGTTTAGGGTTTAGCGGGCTATTAGATTATCAGGCTTAGATTGGCTTTTAGTTTAGGCGGGCTAGGGTAAAAAATGTGATTGAAACAAGCGACAGAGAAGCTTGAGCGGTAAAAAATTCCCAGAGCGATCATCTTCCACGCCTCTCGCCTCACGCTCACGACTCCTGACTCACGAGTCACAGCTCAAGTTTTGATCATCATCTTCCTCTCATCTCACTCGAGTCACGCTGCTGCTGCACTTCATCAACCGGTACGTAATTCTGTTGTTTATATACTTATAGTTTATTGCAAAATTGTGTTTTATAATTTATAGAATATTGTTCTTCTTTATAGCTTATTGCTTTCTCCTTCTTTAAGTACTTAGTATTGCTGAATTTTACATGTAGACTAAGACAAGCAAAATGCTTGTTAAACTGTTTTATAGTTGTTAGTTGTTACTGCCTTACTGGTATAGTTTGTAACTTTGTATACTGGATTACTGGTATTGCTTTCTGTTATTTTAGTTTGACTTGTTATTTTAGTTTGACCTTATGTTTAATTTATCTTTTATAGAATGACTTCAACAGCGGGTAACGCAGGTTCTCCAAAGAACGGGTCAGAAGACCCGATTAGGAAATATACAATACAAGATCCGAATAATAAAATCAGCTTTACATGCTCTTTTTGTGGACAAACATTTAAGGGAGGTGTGTTTCGGATCAAACTGCATATGATTGGTGGTTTTAAGGATGCTCGTAAATGTCCAAACTGTCCGGAGCATGTGCGGGAAGAATTAAATGTGTTCATGATGAAGAAACAAACGACAAAGGCAGAACAACATATGCAAGCAAAAAAATGGATGCACCAACAACAAGATGATGAATACGATGGTGAAGAAGAAGATGTTGTTGAAATAGGCGGCCGTAGTAGCAAGATGCCCCCACCCAAAAAACCAAGGCAAAAAGGTCCTATGGACATGTACTTCACTCCTAATCCTCAAGAAGCAATCAAAGCTAGGAAGGAAGGGAGACAACAAACCATCAATTAAACGTGTCGAAAGGACCTTAGGGATAAAGTTTGTCATGAGATTGGGAGGTGGTTTTACGATGCAGGTATTATAAATAATTAAATATTTAATGTTTTTTTAGTTTTAAGTTGCTGGAAGTCTTTTTTTTGTTTATGCTGATGGAAATATATTTTTATGTAGGCATTTCTTTTAATGCCGCAACATATGAGAGTTTTCAAATAATGATCGAAGCAATCGGACAGTTTGGCCCCGGGATGAAAGCACCAAGTATGTACGAGTTAAGAGTTCCTATACTTAACAAGGAAGTAGAGGAAGTTCAAAACCAAATTGTGGAAAATAAGAAAGAATGGGCAGAAAAAGGTTGTTCAATACTATCGGATGGATGGCGTGATTCCGTTGTTCAAAAAGATATCAACTTCCTGGTAAACTCCCCAAAGGGTTCGGTTTTCGTGAAGTCACATGATGTATCTGATGTTTCAAAGGATGCTGATTTGTTGTTTCATGTTCTTGATAAAATGGTGGAGGAAGTTGGTGAAGAGAATGTGGTGCAGGTGGTGACTGATAATGCATCAGCTTATGTGAAGGCAGGTAAGAGTTGAGTTGCAACTTTAGTCTTTTGATAATCTTTTGTCTAATGTCATCTACTCATCTTATTCCTCTAACTTTGTAGGGAAGTTGATGGAAGCTAAAAGACAACATCTTTATTGGACACCATGTGCTGCACACTGCCTAGACTTGATGTTGGAGGATATTGGCAAACACATTCCTAGGGTTCAAAATGCTTTTAAAAAAGGCCATTTACTCAAATGGATATATATATAGTCATGTTGGTTTGGTGAACTTGATGAGAAAGTTCACAAACCAAAGAAACTTGCATAGACTGGCCATCACAAGATTTGCTACTTCCTTCATCACTCTTGCCCAGATCCACAAACAAAAAAACAATTTGAGGAAGATGGTGACTTCTCAAGAGTGGGAAGCGAGCAAGTGGTCTAAAGAACCCACGAGTAAGAAAATAAAGTCTTACTTTTTGCAAGAAACGTTTTGGAGGAATGTACTTTATTCTCTCAAGTTGACGGGCCCCTTAGTGAAAGTTCTTAGACTAGTTGATGGAGAAAAAAATCCAGCCATGGGTACATCTATGAGGCAATGGATAGAGCTAAGGAGGCGATTCATGATAGTTTTCCGAATCGAGAGGATGATTACAAGAAAGCTTTTGAAATTATAGATCATAGGTGGGAATGTCAACTACATAAACCTTTGCATGCTGCGGGACATTTCTTGAACCCGAGGATCTTTTATGACGAAGTTGGTGGTGTGCTTTGTGAAGAAGTTGAAAACGGTTTTTATGAATGCATGTTGAGGCTTGTTCGCGACCAAGAAACTCAAGACAAGATTTCAGACGAGTTAGTTAAATACCGAAGGGCAGAAGGTCTCATTGGTATTAGCTTGGCTGTTAGGCAAAGGAAAACAAAATCACCAGGTAAAAAAATGATACTTTATATTTTAAGTTCTAAATTATATTAATTATTCTCTCAAATATAATTTATGCTTCATGTTCATTTTACATTTTTTTATAGCTGATTGGTGGACAATGTATGGATCTTCGGCTCCTAACTTGAAAAAGTTTGCTATACGGGTTCTTAGTCTCACTTGTAGTGCTACAAGTTCTGAGAGAAACTAGAGTGTTTTTCAACAAGTAAGTTATTTTTACATGTTTTTCTTAATAATATTGTTGGAAATTATATATATATATATATATATACGCATAATGTTGCTAACATCCAGTTTTGGTTTTTTTCTTGTAGCTTCACACTAAGAAACGAAATAGATTGGCACAATCTAGATTGAATGACATGGTGTTTGTGAAATTCAATCGTGCCTTGGATCGCCGAGCTAAAAGTAAGGAGACCGATCCTATTCTTTTGCAAGATATTGATGAGAGCAATGAGTGGTTGATGGGAAGAATGGAAAATGATGAAGATGATGATGAGGCGGTGTTTGTTGGTGAGGATTTGACATGGAGTGATATTGCTAACGCTTCCGGTGCATATGAGCCTAGTTATCTAACTAGAGCATCAAAAGTAGTGAATGATGGAGCCGGACCATCGAGAAATGATAAAGGAAAATCTCTTGCTCATAATCCTATCTCTAGTAGACCATCTCGTAGATGCTTAGTTGATGAAGATGAGATGGAAGAAGATATTGGAGTGTCTAGTGATAAAGGAGATTGTGTTGTCCGAGTTGATGACGATGACGATTTAGAGGATTTTTAGTTATAAGGAATTGAGGGTTTAGAAAAATACTTTTGTTCATCTCACTTTAGATTGCTTTTGGTGTAGACCATCTTTTGAGATTAATATGCTCGTATAGTCGAATGGTTAATGATATATAAGTATTTAAGTATTTATAACTTATAAGTAAATTGAGAATTATATTTTGGTGTTTAATTACTTATAAGTTTTGAATATATTCATTGACACTTTGATATTTAAGTATTTATAAGATAATTTATAAATATTATGTATTTTTTGTGAGTTTCGGCCTTTCTGGCGCTTCGTGTGCATAAAGCGAGCGTTTTCGCTTAGCATTTAGCGCTTCGGCGTCTAGGACCCTAGGCGCTTTAGGGCGCTTTACGCTTTTTAAAACCAAGGTCTGATGCTGTTAATTCTTATTTGGTCAGATACATTGACATGGCTGAGTCCTTGTGTCAAAAGCGTGCCCTAGAGGCTTTTGAGTTGGATCCGGCAAAGTGGGGAGGTGAATGAATTATGCACGTCTTCTTTTTGACTCCATTATAAGCTAAGATGAATATACTGTGACCTACATGTTGAGATGTTATCAAAATTCCAATATCTTTCATATTTAGTTGAATGTTTATTTTACACTTTATTTTGAGCATATGAAGTATTCTGTGTACGGAATATTTTACTTTCTAGGCATCATATAGCTTATCCTGTATCTGTTTCATTATTGCAGTCAATGTTCAGTCACTTTCTGGATCTCCTGCTAACTTTCAAGTTTATACTGCATTGTTGAAACCTCATGAACGAATTATGGCACTAGATTTACCCCATGGTGGACATCATTCACATGGTTATCAGGTGCTTATCATTTCCATTAACTAAGAGCTTTTGTATTGAATTTGGTTGCATTTTTGTCTTCTATTGTTAATTTTAATTTTATTTTTTCTGCATTTATTTTCTAAAGAAATAACGTATCTGGTGTTAACAATACTTTGAGGCTATTCAACTGGTGCTACTGTGTTTCAAATTCAAATTTTCAATTCTTATTTGCTTTATACAGACTGACACTAAGAAGATATCTGCTGTGTACATATTCTTTGAAACAATGCCATATAGATGGATGAGAGTACTGGTTACATTGACTATGATCAGGTAGCTCCACTTTCATTCTGTTTTACGTATCTACACTTGAGAAACTGTATATTGTACAAAACCAGGGATGCACAGCTGGAACTTGTGTGGAATATTTTCTATTTGCTGCATCTTTTAAGCATAATTTGACATACAAAAGAAATATTTATATCTTTATGGTTAGATTTTCAATTGAGCGGTTTGAATTTTCAGATGTATGAAACTTGCACGCATCTTAAATCAAATTCGACTGTGACATAGAAACTAAAGATCTTATCCATGCCATGAACTCTTTGCAAGTATTTTCTTGGAAATTTTAGGTGAAACTTCAACGTATCTTTAAATGAGCTAATTAGATGAATAAAATTTGCAGTTAGAGAAAAGTGCCGTGCTTTTCAGACCAAAACATATAGTTGCTGGAGCCAGTGCGTATGCTCTCCTTTATGACTATGCACGTATCCGCAAGGTACTCGCCTCTTTTCTTGATGTCAGTAGATTTTATCATATATCAATGAAAATTGGCTCAACGTTGAGAAACCAACTCTTACTGCTTTACGTTTACGGACAGGTCTGTGACAAGGAGAAAGCAATTATGTTGGCAGAAATGGCACATATGAGTGGGTTGGTTGCTGCAGGTGTTATTCCATCTCCTTTTGAATATGCTGATGTTGTGACAACCACAAGTCACTTCGTGGTCCACGTGGTGCTATGATTTTCTTCAGGAAGGGGTCAAAGAGATTAACAAACAAGGGAAAGAGGTAAGTATGATCTAAGTTTTGGTATGCTTACTCTCTTTCTCTCTGTCTCTGAGTTGGATGAGTGGAAAAGAGAAGGAAAACTTGATTTGTTCAATTTCTCGTGTTCCATCCTACAGGTCATGTATGATTTGGAAGAAAAAATTAATCCAGCTGTCTTTCCTGGACTTCAAGGTGGACCGCATAATCACACCATATCCGGTTTAGCAGTTGCATTGAAGCAGGTATTCTTTGATAAAAGAAAAGTGTTTATGCAAGTGAAATATGCAAATCCAAGTTGAGGCCATACAGTATTTTGATACAAGTTAGCCCGGAGTATTAGATTTATTGAGTTTGACATACGTGTTTATAGGTCAGAACACCTGAGTACAAGCCTTACCAAGAGCAAGTTCTCAGTAATTGCTCGAAATTTGCTCAGGTAAACTGAATGACCCAGCTCCTATTGATGCAAGTTCACTACTAGTACTTGGCTTTTGTGTGAACCTTGGCCTTATCGTGTACACTCTCGATTGATTTAACTGTGATGGTTGCAATTCTATGTGTTCTGTTTTTGTAGAGGTTGCTAAAGAACGGCTATGATCTAGTATCTGGTGGGACCGAGAACGATTTAGTCTTGGTCAATTTGCCAAACAGGGTATGTGATTCTTGAATTCTTGTTCCTTTCAAACTTGATTTACCAAAAATTATCATACCTTTTATGTTGTCATGAGAATTCCTATAGAATAACCTGATAGTAAGTTAGTAATTAGAATCCATAAATGGATTGTTATCATTTTCTCCAATTTCAAATACTCTCAAACTATTTAATTGGTAATTGTTGGTAATTAGAGTGAGTCTATATTATTTCTGAAACGGTGATCAACAGGGTGTTGATGACTCAAGAGTTTAGAAGGTATTGGAATCAGTTCATATTGCAGCCAATAAAAAACACTGTTCCAGGGGATGTGTCTGCTATGGTTCCCGGTGGCATCGGCATGGGTATGGGACCATTCACACCTTTGATCATGAAGCCATATATTTGTTATGGTGATTATCTAGGTCCCTTGGATCTTAAATTGTGGTTTCATGTGATTCAGGAACCCCAGCTCTCACATCTAGGGGTTTTATCGAGGAAGATTTTGAGAAATAGCTGACTTCTTCGATGCAGATGTCAAATTAGCCTTGAAAATCAAGGCCGAGACGAAAGGTATACTTTTCTGTTTTGTCAATCGCCTAAAGGGAAATATTTTTATATGTTGTTAAAATGGAATATATGCTCCCATATTTCCCTTGAGTTACTATTAATCCAGGAACAAAGTTGAAGGATTTTGTAGCAACCTTGGAATCAGATACGAACTTTCAATCTGAAATCGCTAAGCTCCGAAAAGAAGTCGAGGAGTATGCGAAACAGTTTCTGACCATCGGTTTTGAGAAGGAAAAAATGAAATACAAGGACTAAGGCAAGGCTTGTCAGTTCTAAAGAAGTACGTATACTGTTGCACGTAATATTGTAGCGGGAAACTATTTTATTTTATTGAAATGCCAAAACATGCGCATTGCATTATCTGGAGTTGAGTTGAACCTATTCAAAGATGGAGACTTGATCAAATTTCATTTTTTGAACTCGAAATTGATTTTTGATTGTCAATTAATGTATCATAAAATATGTGCATGTGATCAAACAATAATAAAGGAAAAACATTGGAACGTGTTATGTTTAAACATGATATTGATGATATAATATGCTGATGACGCTGCTGATGAAATCATGAATCATGCTTACATATATGCAATGATTATAGCCAAACGGTGCAACAATTAGTTGCAGCTACCACCCTTAAAAATTGTACAGTAAAATATAACAAATATCATTGAATTGAATTTTAAGACTTGTAATTTATATAATTAAACTTTTTAATTTCTTTAATTATAAACATTGAATTTCGTTTTAATTTTAATCATGTCATTTGATTATTAAGTTTGTTATATCACACGATGATGATGATGCAAACAAAATGTCAATTTGATTATGATTATTGATGCTCAAAACAAATATTATTTTAAGTATTGAACTCTGTAATGTATTGACGTGAGCAAATTATATTTTTTTTAAGAATTATTCTTGTAAAATGTGCAAAAGTATTTTAAAAGAATTTTTTTAATTTAAAATCATTTAAAAAGTAAAATTATTCAGTAAAACAGCAAAAAATTTAAATATTCACAAAACTGATGGATTTTTTTTACAGAATTTTATATTTTTTAGGATGGTTGACAAAATTTTTAGGCTTAATAATAAAATAAGTGCCCAAACTATACCTAAATTCTCGAATAGGTACTAAACTATTTTTTGATTTATCCAGGTGTCTAACGTTACCCATTTAGGTGCCCAGACTGTTAACAACATTAATTTTCCCTGTTAAGTGACACATGTCACAATCTGATGATTTTGAAATTTTTTTTAATATTATTATAAAAAAACTTAATTTCTCTTAAATTATAAAAAAAGCCGCCCCTTTCCGGCTACGACCACCGCCGTCGACGTAGTCCTGCCATCCTCCTAGTCATACACTATCGTAGTTGCCATCGATTAACTGTCGAGATAGCGTGGGATCGCAATTTTCATCCTAGGGTCTGCGGGGTATAAAAATGTTGATTGACCGTCGATCGGTCACGCTTTCATGGGGGTTTTGATCGCCGGGGAGATGAGGTCGAGTGGAGCTTCGTCGACGGAAAAGGGTGATGGCCGGCGTGCGTTTAAAGGGTTGAAATGACGGTTTTCAAAGTTTTTGGGTTATTTCAGAATGTTTATGTTTTCTTTAATATATATATATATAATTTTAATTTTTTAAATGTTAAATAAATTTTTAAAATCACCAGATTGTGACACGTGTCACTTAACGTAGAAATCAACGTCGTTGACGGCCCAGGCACCTAATGGGTAACGTTTGTAATGTTAGGCAACTGGATGGGTCAAAAAATAGTTTAGGCACCTATTCGAGAATTTAGGTCTAATTTGAGCCCTTATTTTGGTGTTAACCCAAAATTTTATTAAAATTTTTAGGATCTAAAAAAGGTTCTATACAAAAAAAAAATTGATTTTTATTAAAATTTTTATTACAGAAAAAATTAAAAAAAAAACTTTTACTTTACATATTGTTTCGTACTATTTTAGAAATTTTGATATATTTTCTGTCTCTCTTACACCTTTTTGAATATTATATGATTTATTGTTTTTGTAATTTTTAATAGTTGTTTGATTTTTTT